AAGTATGAGAGAAAAAGCAAGAGGTACGCGTTTCCGTTACGCGCTTCCCGCTGCGCATGCGCGCTGTCGTCATGCGCCAATCCAAGACGCTGTTTGGCGTACGCGCACGCGCAGTGGGCAGCACGGAACGGTAACGCAAACGCACTGTGCTTGCGTTTGTTCGTATGCGCGATATACTAAAAATCAATATTGTCACAACGACGAATGAGAGTGAGCAAGTCGAAATAAATGAGAGCTCAGTTAACATTAAAGCAATTTTGATACGTTCGGGGATGAAGTTGAGAAATATTCTTAAACAAGAACTCGGTCATTTCAAGCTTCAAGTCCTTCGGAGCAGCCCAGGGTTTTTGTTCTACTTTTGCATGCTTCACTTCTCTCCAGCCCGACAAAGGCTCTGGTGCGTGAAGAAGTAGAGGCATCTGTTTTTTTTTTAATAATAAGGAAAATATTTCGAACCTTGTAACGTTTCATGCGTCATGCCCCCCCCCCCCCCCAAAAAAAAAAAAAAAAAAAAAAAAAGTACAGTGGAGAATTATAAGGCACGGTTGCGTGAGTCGAGCGCCATAAAAGCGTCGAATGTTGCCGAGTAAATTTTTAATCGGCACGAAAGAAAAGTTTTCCGAACTCTTCAGCATGCATCCCAATAATTTCTAGGTGTTTCGCACGATTTTTTCTTTCTTTTTCAGATTGCTTTTACAGCGCTACATATTCGATTGCTACATTTTATTTGAACGTAATTCGTTGTACGCCTCCACACCGCGCGATTCAAATCGCAGCTGTTCGCAAGTGGGATTTTTTTTATGAGTTTCAAAGAAACTTTACAGGCAGCTTGATGAATTATTTATAAGGTCGAGGATCCTCATTCTGCGTCTTTTATTTCTAAGAAACTGTAATAGTCGAACTACACTCGAGTATTGTTTTTAGAAACCAGGTCGAAGTATTTTGTTGAAGACATCTTTCTTATGGCTAAACGCTTTGCCTAATTTATTCCTGCTGGAAAGCCTTCATATATGTAATGCGTGTTGCCTTGGAAATCCAGAGACTATATTTATTTAATAAAAATAACGCACGGTATTTAGCAATTCTGAAGGCTTTTATCACATCTTGCGGTGCCTAAATTATAAAAGCAACCCAATATTTCGCTAATAAGAGTCTTGCTTCAAAAACGTAACTTCAATTTAATGTGTCCACCAAGCTTGTCTTTTATAGGTTGAAAAGGTAAAGTCAAATAATGTCTGCAGTTCTCACCTTTAACTAAAAAGTAAAAGAAATAATGCTAGTACATCCAAGCTTCGAAAGCCACTCGTCAGTTTCAAAATTTCCCAACTGAAATCCAGTTTAATGCAAAAATACTATTGAAATAAAAGGCACGATTACCAAGGTATTGTAAAGATTCTGATAAAAACAAACGAAGGAGTTTAGTCCAATTTCCTTTGAACGCATTCATCAGTCAATGCTTTACGTTGTTTGTAATCAGTGAATAATTCATGAAATGAGCAAGATGTCAGGTTGTGCTCTAGCTAGTAACGTTAAATTTGTCTAAAAAGTGCATCTCACGAACTTACGTATCACGGAAGAGGAGACGAGTTTTGTAAACTGTGCCTAGTGCACCGTCGAAATTTCAGAACACTTTTACATTGCAGTGGTGTGTTCCTTGTGTCTCATAGCGCTGGAGTAATGATATTTGCTGCAGACACCGGCCATGACAAAACGTGTGTACGGCTATCAGAATACCATCGGATAAGGTAGGATTTAAATTGTAGCAGGGTATACGCAGAACCTCGCTGCCACCTGTTATTAAACGAGAGAGCCACGAACATGCTTCCTCTCGTCGCTCCATACCCATGGACGAACCGTAATGGAAGAACATGGCTACGTTCTAATGCATTAAACCGATTCAGCAGCAGATCACAGGTTCGATGCCAGCCTCGCACATGACCAGCGTATCGATATTGTACCTTTAACGAAAATCCATAAAATGACAACACCACTACAAAAAAAAATGCTTTTGGCTTTTGCCTTTTGCGCAGGGGCTCTCGTCGCACAACGAAAAATTGCGCGCTCATGACTCGAGCCCAATCTGCATATCCTACACTAACCTACTTTCTCCGGAGAGCGCGCCACCTGACCGAAAACTAGAGAAGCACAGTACAACGGACACCTCCTCGGTACTAAGGCCGAACGTTTTACGTCACCTAAAGGAGGCCATCGCGGTGGAGGGAAGGGGGAGGGGCAGATTGGACACTATTGTTGTGTCAGCGTGCAGCTCACACTCGTGTCCTCACTCATTTCACACGAGTCCCAGCCGACCGCTTACATAATACTCGTCTTCAATGTATGTTCCGTGCTGGCCTCTTTCAGGTGACGTCACAAGTCCTGCTCTGCTGTCTTGCTATGTAGGGGGTGTAGCGCACCGACATCCTCGAAGGCCTGTATTTCCGTAAGGGCGCGGCCATACTGCTCGTTCATCATGCGAAAGACACGTTGTTCGCTGCGGACATGATGATAATCTAAACTACGAACACGATTCAAGCATTTTGGAAGCATGTTTCCTTCATACGAATGGAAACTCCGAACGCGTGTGAAGACAGTTTTTGTATGACCAATGTGACCGTTATACGAGGAAGAAACACGCCTCAAACACTGACTGTCCTTTTGATGATGTATTAGCGCCGGCAGTGGGACCGCGGATTATGGAATAGAGAAGACGGTGCGGGCGTTACATATTTTTCTGTAATGGCATAACAGTTTAAACCCAGCGCCACGGAACGACGAGACCTCGGGAAATAAAAGAGGAGGAAAGGGGAGACGATTCCCAGACTACGGTTCTGGAACGCTACAAGTGGCAGAGTGAAGAAGTAATAAACGCATTTTAAGTAAAAAAAAAAAACAAAAAAACACAATATCCCACGATAGATTGCTGTGTTTAGATTATTATTTGGCCCTCTGTTTATGTAAGCTGTTCACGGGGGCTTAGAATTTTGTTTGAAAATATCACGCGACAACAGTGCTTTCGAAATACCCCCCCCCCCCCTACCCTCCACCCTTCAATGTCTGCACCAGGAAGGCGCAACAGGAAAAAATATGTGTTTTCTTTTTGTTTTCTTTTTGTTGTTGTTGTTGTTTTTTTTGGCGAGGGGGGAAAGGGGGGGGCGCTAGAAAGGGTGAAAATCCCGCGGATATTTATTGCAGGATGTTGAAGTATTAAGGAGGCGCCAGTATGTCCCTTCGACAGGTGTACGAGTGGTGCAAAGCATTTCACAACTTATTGTCAAGTGTGACTGACTCGCCACGCTCCAGCCGGGCGAAAAAATCCAGCAACAGCGCGCTCAATGTCTGAAGTTGAACGGCTCGTACGCGAAAACCTCCGTGTCCCTATAAATGAAATGGCTGAAACTTTTAACATCAGTCGCGGTAAGGTGCACCGCACGATTAACGGCATTCTGCAGTACCGTACAGTGTCCGCCAGGTGGGCACAAAGACAATTCACGCCGGACTGTAAGGAGTGGCGTGTGGGTGGATGCGAGACGCGGCTCCGACTCTTTTGAAACTCAGAAAGAATATTTTCTTTAACTCATTCTCAGTGAGGACGAATGTTGAATCCAATAGGCCGATCCAGAGACCAAGCTGACAAGCACAGATTGGAGGCACACTTCGTCACTAAGGCTAACGGAGTTCAGGAAAGTTCCGATGCGAGGCAAACCTACGCTCGTTGTTTTCTTTGTCTGTAAAGCTGGGGTCACACTACTTATACATCACACAAAATACTTGTTTGTGTTTTTTTCCTCTTCTAAGCGATGGGAGTGGACAAATAAATTCGACAAATATGAGCAGCTTTCATTTCCTTAACTCGGAGCCAGAACAAGCGGCCACGTGACCAGGTACTTATCCAATGCCACCGACGCTAATCATAGCCACGCTCTGAGGTCGGCAAAGTAGAAAACGCGTGCTGAGCTCCAGGGAGCTCGAGGCATTGTTAGAGTTTGGCTATTTTCATCACCGCAGTGTTTGAACACGAGCCACTACCCGAATGTCGGCCGAGGCATTCATTGTTACGAGCCGAAGTCCTGTGCTCACGCAGTTCTCGTGTCCAATTCATGAGCCGCTCTCAACTGTCGTCAGACAGGTGGTTTCGATCTTACAATCGCGTCATCGAGCTTTGCGAAGGAACGACTGAGAAAAATAGTTCTCTTTTAACCCCGCAACTTCACCACGACCAAGGAGCTTCTGAATCAGTGGCGGTTCGTGCAAGTATACTTAAACCAGACTAGGACCAGCACGCCTCTGCAAAGTTATTAACATTCCAACCCAATATCGTTTCACGACTCCTTTAAGGACAAATAGCCAAACATAATACGCCCACAAGGAACTCCGTTTCAAGAACACGTCATATCGCGACCTGCACGAGAACAATTGAAATCTGTGATCAGGTGAAAGCGCCGCAATTTTCTGTTGCTGCAGCACGACATTGCGTGCCACCTATGGCACGCGCGACAGCGGGAAAAAAATCAAGGCTTTACGATTTTAGTGCACACCGCAACCGCCATACTCATAGGACCTTGCACCGAGAGATTTTTATTACTTAATAACACTGAAAGCAGTTCTGGGAGGAAAGAAGTTCCGTACATAGGATGACCAGAAAGCGGAAGTGCATCCCTGACGTTGGAGTCAGCAGCAGGATGTTTTCTTCCGCAGCATCCATGCGTTATTGAGGCGTCGGTGCATATATGCAGAACGCGGGAAGGACTGTGTTAAAAAGCGGCAAAATATTTTAATTGTGTTTCTATTATTAGGAAGGATAACGGATATACTAAGGGCCGCTTTTTTCTTTTTCTCGTATAAAACAGTGCGCTATCTGAAGCTGTTTTATCTTATCGGAGCGACCGCGAAACCTCGCGACGCAGTTGGATCTCATTCGACGGCCGGCACTCGATTTCCTGTGGATTGTCGTTCTAGTGCTATCTTATCTCCCCAGTGCCCTCACCTACATGTGTGACGTTAGTCACGCTGTCCTCGCCGTGCCAACAGTGTCTCTATGGGACGCCGCTGCACGGACATGTAGGGTGGAGGCCACTTCAGAATCTCAAGCCGCAGTTCCCAGATGAACGTAAGACCATTCTGCGTATCAATGTTGTGAGCCATTTCCAGGGATGCGTTTGAGCGGGCGCTTTTACAGCAGACGCGAGTGTCGGCTATTTTTGGTTGCATCTACGTGAAGGGATCGGCGATCAGTAAGAGTGTGAAGCCAGGCTAGCACAGCGATTAAATTGCAACACTCAGTAATTTTGTTCTACCTTTTATTTTTCAACAATATAAAGCGTCATAAATAGCTCAGACATTGAAACAAAAGGGACATTGAATGCAATTCATCATTTGGTTTTCGTTTAAAACTTTTGTTGTAGAGTTTGTGGCCAAAAGAAAGCTTGTGAGTATATTTGTATTGCATAGCACGCTCCCTGACAAAAACTAAAAACTACGAAATCATTCCTGAGAACGACCAATATCAAAACAAGGAGATTTCGACAAGCGCGTAGACGGTGTAGACGTGTCTATTAAGAAAACATTAACAACTGACATAGGCACAAGCTTTTGCGTATCTGTCATCGTTATTATGTTTGATTGCCTCAATATTAAGCAAAAGTGCAACCTGAGATGAAAACTTCGATTTGCACGGGTACAATAACAAGACGTTTGGTTTTGAAAAAAAACCAAACGCAAACGTTTTTTTTTTTTCACAAAGTATTATTTGATTAAATTTCAAAGGCTGCTTGCTTAAAGCGAACGGAGCAGTAAAATCCTCAGTTGTTCCTTACGCCTAAAATAGTGTGCAAAACAAAAAAAAGAAATGAACGCTGTCAAGGTAGGAAAAAACAAACAAACAAAGAGTCAGTGACTGACTGTATTTGCGCGCCACAACTCGAAACGCAAGAACCCAGTATCGAGTTGCAGAATTCAAGTGTCACTTCCGAGCTCGAACCCAACTCCTGCCAAAATAGATCAGGATGAGCATTCTGCAGGTGCGTTTTAGTCTCATCTTTAGTGCATAAAGCACGTTTGAGACCCCAGGGGGGCTCTGCAAGACGGCGGGACGAAGGGACCTGGACATAGTCACCTGCTGCGGTTGGTCAGCGCCTCGCCGCTGACCAATCGCAGCAGGCAGTGATGTCTCGGCCGTCCTGCGTAACCCCCCAGGTTAGCGGTCCTACTGTAGTGGTCTATTTTCGGCTCAACAGCGTCTGTATGAACATTCACGTCGTCTCATTTTGATCGTCTTCCGTGTCAGAGCACTAGTGGATGAAGGCTACGATCTCCGGTTGCTATTTTGAGCGTGCGCATGCCATACAATGCTTTATTTAGGTCCATCGAAGGCAAGATTGTTTTAGGGGAGGGAGAAGCAAAAAAGACAACCAACCGCTGGTCGGTTGTCTTTTCTGTTTCACCTTCCTTCCTTGTTCGCCTGGTTCCATCCGTGATGTATAGTAACAATCCAGCTGAGTTCATCCCTGTAGTAAGATTGCTTTGTTTTGAGTTTGTTGGAAACATGTCGGTGAATTCGTTACGCTGGTTTCAAACAAAACATTAAGGCTGAAACTGATGTCTCTGGCGTCTAATTTTCTGTCTTGTAGTTCTAAACCCAAAAAAAAAAAAGTGAGGAGGCTGATAACGTTGTTATAACATTGCGAGGTTAAGAATGTTGTTAAAATGTCGGTATGTATGCGTCATTTTAACGGTTGATGGGCATTCGCTTTAGAAAGTGTTGGACAAATGGTTTATTAGCACGCAACAACACAAAACGGGAAAAAATCTTAGGGCTTTTTATGGAGTTTAGCTATAAGGAGCAGGATATCTTTGATACATGTTTCAAAACATTTCTTGGACAAAACAAAAAGCGGTCGCCTTAGCTATTCGCAACTTTCCCGACCTATAAGGGGCGCGCTGGTGCCTGTCAAAATGACTGTCATCTATATGATCCTCGTAGAACAGCGGTAAGAGGCGGGGCCTGCGACGCGTAATTGATTCTAATTTTGATTTATACGAGCAGTATTAGTGCCTTACTTTATTTTTTTCCCAACAACAATTGAGGCATTCACCTTTTTTGTGAAGCCGATCATCTATGAGCTAGGGAGCACGACTCTGACACCGCCGGTACCACAGTCGCTCAAAGATTCAAAAAGTGACATCGCGGAATATCACGTCCTGCTGCGCACCTTAGACGCTTCGTTAAATTGCAATCCATATTCATTACATGGAGAGTTCACTATGAACGAACTTGGGATACGGAAATGAGTGAATGGATGAAAAAGAGAGCCCACATAAGAGCCAGGGCATTGGTCGCACTTTCTTCAAGTAGGTTGCGTTCAGAAAGGCGCTCAACGTTGGGGGACGCTTTGTCGGCATTTTGAGATATTATCCTGCTCGTAGTCCATTTCCTGTCCTGTTCTCTGTTTATCAATGTACGCTTACAGACAATGTTCGCGAGAGCGATAAATGCCGGACTGACAACAAAAGAAAAAATAAGAGAACTTTGATGTTTTGCTCTAGCGGGGCCACATATACAAGCAAAAACAAAACAAAAACAAAAAAACAAACAAGAAGAATATATATTTTTGTGACCACTTTGCATTTTCTTCTATTTGTTATTTTCTTGACAATGAAGTCTGCATTGTTGTTGTGGTTTGTTTCTTGTTCTGCATTGCGCCTCAGTGTGGTAATCTTTACTTCCATAAAAGCACCCTTTTTGTTTGAGGATTTTTTGGGCGGAACTTCTAGGAAAGAAAAGGCGTCTTTGGGAAGGCGAGGCGAAAACCTTCCTGGTACGAACTTTGGGGTAAAATATGAGTCACATTCGGTACAAAAGCGATGTTTTCACGAGCCGAATCTAAGTGACCGTAGTTTATCGGAGAGTTAGCAACAGGATTTGGTTGCTCGAAAGAATGTTCACGTTTGCTCAAGCCACGCCCACGTCACGTTTTATTTGTTTTTATGAGTTTAGTTGAGACAGGCTAAGAGAAAGTCTCAGGGGACATGGCTAAAGACACTTTGAAGTGCGTGACGAGCCCACGCCACCCTTTTTGTAACAGCAGTAGCAAAACAAGGGACACAAGAGTGACATACTTTCACTCCTATACAGTAAGAAAAATACAAAAGAAAACTTTATACGGAAAAAAATTAGGAAAATGGTGGAACGTCAGAAATGTATTTGAGATAATGATACAATATACTCAAAAATTTAATTAAAATGCAGTATCAAATACTGTCGATCAAAAGTATTTGCAAGATACCAAGGTATTTCAAAATTATTTTAAATGCAGTATCTTGTGTAGAGTATTTGAGATAGGCACGAATCTGCTTGAAACACGTATTTTACGTTAAATTATCCATACATTTCAACTTCTCAAAATCATTATTTGTTAAAGGGTCATCTGGAAATCTACCCAAACGCAGGAGTTCCTAGTTTGGTAGGCTCTACCAATCCAGAAAATTTATCTAAACTCTACATGCCAGAAACGCGCCAAACCTGCCTGTTTTTGTTTCATAATCTTGAATGGCGACCTCACAGAATTGTTGCTTATCGAACGTACGGGCCTTTATTACGAGTTATCAATGTGTTTTATCTCGTACGGCTGTTGACAACTGGCGTCAACATATCTGGACAGAAACAACCGTCGCAATAAGAAAGCGGTCTAGCATATTATCACTAGATCAGATAAATTCAGACGGCAAGCAAGTGTTCTAAAATGCCCCTTTTTCGCATCGGAACGCAAAGAAGGGCAAGCCAATCAAAGGGGTGCATATATAGAGAAGGTGTAAAGAAAGCGCGATGACAATGGCAGCCAAGCTCGCGTCGTCAAGGTCGGGTGAAAACAAACGCACGTGGACGTATTTGGTGGGTAAGCAAAAGCACCATATGCGCACGGAGCAGACCGACTTGCACGCCATATTCGAGTGGTTCTGTTCACCGAAGAACACCATGTTGGAACGAAGTTTTGGAACGAAACTCAATTCTCGATTTATCTATCGATAAACCTATCCTACTATGACATAGCCCTGCAAGACATACAATCAACAAGCGCCGTTCGTGGAAGTATATGCATATACCTCACTGGCAACCCTCGCTACACTTAAGGGTGTAGCGAGGGTTGCTTCGCCAGACATTCCTGTTATATTCAGTTTCACCTTGCAATGGACCGCGGCTGTAGCAACAGGCCATCCAAGTCAATCCAGTGTTTGTCAGTATCACGTGACCAGGCTCCCCCGCGCGCGTCGCTGCGCTCTTTCTGAAGATCACGTGATATCTAACGGGGAATTGGATTGGCTCATGTAACTCGCAGCGTCCCATATGATATATAATAAGGTGAAACGGAGCGCATATCGTCGCGTTAACCATGACATTTTTAACGTATTGGCGAGAAATGGCAAAATTCTTTCTTACTATTTGTATTAGGCGATGAGCATCGCCGACAGCGACATGTCTACTTTGTTGCAGCAGCCCGAGTCCAGACGCACCCATCGCCACGAGGAAATGGGACCAATAAAAGCAGCGTAAGAAGCGCAAATCTCGCGAGCTCTATTGTGTTTATGATTGGTTCTGCGATATTAGAAACCGTACAAAAACATGACGGTGCACCAGGATGGTGGGCTCTGAACGCTGCCTGATTGGTCCTAACAGCTCGTAGCGTACGCTGCATCTAGGCATAAGGAGAAACGAAGTGTAGCTAATTAAAACTGTTCCACAAAGGGGTTTTATCACGTCGGCATATTAGACTTCTACCAAACTATTTATCTTTGTTTCATTTCTTCTTTCTTTGCTCTGCCTCGTGCAGTTTTCTGTTCACCACTCACATGTTTTTATTTCTCCATTGGTTGTCAAAATTGCCACACAATTTAATTGAGTCAATAACCATAAACTGATTGGCATCGTTGTCACTGCTATGCGCCAGTCTTATGGTTCAATAAAGTGGGGAATATCAGAACTGAAATGTGTGACAATCCTTTGTCTACCTGAATCAGTTTAACAGTTGGTGCATTTAAAGCAAATTCATTTCTGTACATCAAAATCGAATACAGCCAAAAATATTTTTTTTTCCTTTTTCGTTTTAACTTTTC